CAGTGATTACTTGACATGAGGGTCAGTATGGGGCCTACAGAGAAATGGACAGAGGATAAGGGTCCCAGAGACTGACACCCTTGAGATGGCTCCTAAAGTCTCTCAGTCCAGTACACGTGGCAGATATATTCAGGTGCCCCTCACGTGGGCTGGGACTGGTTGCTCAGGGGTGCTCCCAGGGTGGCTGCCTGAGTAAGGTTTGGGGCTGGATGTGGTGAAACTATGAGGGGGCACCTCTCCCCCTCCCATTGGTGTCACACATGGTCATATTGGTCACTTGAAAGGGCTGATGGCGGTGATCAGGGCCCCTTGAGAATAGCAGGGGGCCCAGCAGCTTGGTTTGGGCTGGGCAGACTCTTCCCTAGGCCCTGCTCCCCATGTGGGGTGAAGTGGCTGCCCTGGCCTGGCCTTCCCCTGCCTCCAGGGCTCTGTTGCCTGAGAGGACAAGAGGCCACTGGGTCTTCCAAACCTATTTGCCCAAGGAAGGCTCAGAGGAACTCATCTCCCCAGCCCCATCCTCACTTCCTGACTCCTCCAGGATGGGCATGAGCCACTCCTCTTGGGGCTCCTCAGCCCCCTCGTCTCCTTCCTGGGCCAGGACCTCTAGATCACTGCCAGGACCTCCTAGGCCCACCCCAAAAGCACTGTCCATGTGGGCAGGGGAGGGTATTACCTGACCTAGACCTGCAGGAGTCAGAGCATTTCCACTTCTCTAAGCAGTAGGGAAGGCCTTGGTGGTCTCCTCAGGGGCAAGATCTGCCCCGGTGGCATCACGGGTTTCAGGAGCAGGCTCATCAGGATTGGCAGTGGCAGGACGCACCTCAGTGGCCGCTGCATTGGCCTGAGCAACCTCGGCACTGTCTTGCTCAGAAAGGGCAGCCTGAGCAGCATCTTCATGGGCTGGGACGGCCTGGGCAGTATCTTCATGGGCTGGGACGGTCTGGGTAGCAGCCAGGTCTCATGTCCACACAGACTCCTTCTTCCACTTGAAACTGCTGGCTCATAGTTGGAGTGGCCTCCCACGCCTCTGACTCCCTAATGAGCCGAAGCATCCCCAGGAAGCCAGGAGGTCTCCTCTCCAGCCGCATCCTCCTCAGCTTGTTCCAGAGAGTCTCGTTGGGGCGGGCCCGCATCAGCACCTGCCGAGCACGCACCTGGTCTGCCGTGGAGGGTTGGATGGCCCCCTTCTCCATGGCTGCCTGCAGCAGGCCTTCCAGGCGCATCACGTAGGCAAAGAGTGTCTCCTGGGGCCGCTGGGCACAAGTCATGAACTTCAGCCGCGCGGTAGTTCGGGTGTCCTTGTTCCCAAACACCTGAATCAGTGTGGCCAGGCAGTCCTGAGCAGCGATGTCGGGATTTTCATCCAGGAGGCCGCTCACAAGATCCAGTGCAGGGCCATGCAAGCTCTCCACCAGCCTCCTCCTCCTCTCCCTTTCTGATATGTGGCGCCACAGGTACAGCATGTCGTTGGCATGGTCCAGCCAGCTCTCAGAGGACTCCTCATGGCCTGGCTCTTCTATCCCAGAAAAGGCTCTCAGTTCCTGGTAGGCCATA